CAGGAGGCTACGAATTATCCTGCGCTCACTTGGAGCTTTGAACTGGACAAGCACGAATGGTTTTTATCTCTGTATAACATTTCGCATGTGCCGTAGATAGTATATGGATCATTTGTAAAAATTTGTTCATGCCGAAAGCGACGGATCTTTTAAACCCAAGGAGAGACATCATTCTGACTAGGGAATCGATTCACTTACTTTAGTAGCTGTGTTTACTCTGGTGGTCACGTAACTAAGGAAGTTACACAGCGTGTCGGCAAGGCTCGTGTGGCATTTCAGAGGCTAACCCATCTGTTGAGACGGCGGCTTGTTAGTAAAGAGTAGGATGTATAACTGCTATAGAGCCGGAGACCTGGCCACTGTTTGATCACGCCTTTTTAGGTGTGTCGTTCCACCGAGAATCAGTTCGGTACAGTTCAGTTGATCAACTATGATTCGAGCACCGAAGTGCGGTGGATCCAGCTGCCACGACTCACATCACAAGAATAACAATAAATAACAAAGTCAAGCTAGTAGGATTAAAGGCAGATAGAATGTACAGAAAATGAAAGCCAGAAAAATGTGCGTTGAGCTAATCACTATGGTACGAAAATTAACAATCAGGTGCATGAAGCTGAATGCAGGAACGCTACTGGCTGCGTGACTGCGCCATGTCTGATGCGGTCTCCAACCATTGGTGGGAACCATCCCGAGACCCCCATCCACGAAGACGGCACGCACCAGCTTGACCAAGTCTCTCAATCAATTTTTCCATGCCACTGCCATGTCGTGGACTGGCCACCTCGCGGTTTCACCCAACTTGGTGCAGTCACGGCGTATAATGCACGGCGAGGAAGCCGGCCAACGGGCGTACGGAGGGCATCCTAGCCAGTGCAAGCACTAAGATTCAGCAAACACTTCAGTGAAACACCAGGAGGCTTTTTGCCAAAAACAAATTGGGGGATCTCAGTATTGCTCATCCAGTGTTCTCACCAGAGGTGAACAATACTTCGCTAGCACCGGTAGTCAAGCACGGCTAAGTGTTTAATGTCTTCACTGCGAACTGGCCAGTGCTCTGATCCATATAGTGGCACAGGCCTTATCGCAGCGTTATACACCCTACCTTTCACTTACTGGCTGATTTCTTGCCGTCCCTGTAGATGGTTACATCTCTGGAAAGCCACATGTGCCTTGCTGTTACCCGAAATCACTTCCTCAGTGATGTGACCACCGGAGGTGGCGCAGCTGCCTAGGTATGTGAATCGATCTATCACTTCCAGCGGCTATTCGGCGATAGCTAGAACGGGATGTTTGTCGATCCAGTTCTGCAGCAACACTTCGCACTTTAAAAGTGCAAGGCACATGTCGACGCGTAAAGCGCTATGCGTCAGTCAATTCAGCAGTGTTTACCTAGTCACGGCGTCGAACCCAAGAGGAGCTATGTCGTCCGCATACTCCAGCTTTTTCAGTCGGTCACCTGGCAGAACTTCCACTCCAGAATAGTCAGAAAGAACGGAGTCATTCATGATCATTTAGATAACAAACTTAAGTGGAAAGATATAAGACAACCCTGGCGAACCCAACTTGTTGTGGTGAACTCAGGAGACAGTTTCCCGTAGACCCTTATAAGGCCTCGGGCGTCGCGATAGCGAGACTTAAGAATGAAAAAGAATTTAACCGGCACGCTGTTCATGGCTAGTCAGTGCCACAAGCTGGTGCGGTCAGCAGAATCGAAGACGGCTTTCAAGTAAAGGAAAACCACTATCCTCGGTCCTCTGTAGATGTATCTCTGCTCCAACACTTGATGAAGGGTAAACGTGTGGTCGATACCACCAGGACCAGGACGGAAGCCAGCCTGGCTTTCAAGAAATCTGCTCTAATGGTGACCACTAGATCGTCGGAGATTGATATACGTGTGGTGTTTGGATGCAATGGAAACAAGATCCATGCCTCGATGATTTTCGCACAAAGTACGTTGACCCCTCTTGAAGACGGGCACGACAGTTGACAGTCGTCTGTTCGAAGGATCCTCTTCAGTGTTCCAGATGGTGTTAAATAGAGTAGCGCGTCCAGTCAACAAAGGGTCGCCACCATCTTTCAGCAAAGATGGAGGAAGGTCGTCGGGTCCATGAGTCTTGTTTCCTTTCAACACAGAGCTCGTGTCGAATCTCTTCCAAAGTAGGAGGTGTGAAATCTGCTTCCCATGTCGGCTCAGGCGATGTGGCAAGCGGCAGCGTCGCAGCGGGCCTGGTAAACTGCTCTTCAAAATGTTCCGCCCAACAGGCTAGTCGATGACGCTGAGAATGGATCAGCTGTCCGTTTTCCTCAGCTATTGTCTCGCTAACGGATGGTTTTCTCGGACCCGTGTTCCGGATGAGCTGGAACAGAACGGCTTTTCCCAATAGCACTGGCTTTTTCTATCTCACGGGTCCTTGCGATCCACCAACGTTCCCGATCGTTTCGAAGACTCCTTGAGTTACGGACACGCTGAAACTTAGTGCCCATTAGAATTTGTTTCCGTGCTGATCGATGGCTCAGAGACCCAATCGCAGTTACAACGTTTCAAGTTTGGTGTACAGTATGCATCAAAGGGATTCTCCATGGCACATTTGAGATGATTCTATCGAGAACATACTTATTTATTCAGACACTTGGCCGTGTTTGATCACCGGTGCTTGCGGAGTATTAATCACCGCTGGGTGAGACACCGGGGGACCCATGCAGGGGTGCGCCAGTTGCTAAACCTCTACCGCTTACTTTGGCTTGGCCATTTCCTCCATATGCCTGTTGACCAGCTTCATCGGCGTCGGTTATGTGCCATCTGTGTGCCAAGCTGGACGAAACCGCAAGAGGCTAATTGGTGACTTGTCATCAGAGGCTTGATCAAGCTGATGCGTACCGTCTTCTTGGATGGGGGCTCCGGGATGGTCCACATCTGTAGTTGCAGACCCTATAAACATGCCACAGCCAGTGGCCCTCCTGCATTCCGTTTCTTGCATCCAGCTGTTTATCTTCGTTCTATCCCGATTAGTTTTGTGCATTTTTGCTTTCGTTCCATTTGTTTTTTATTTGCGCTTAAGCTCAGTTTCTTACTGTTGTCATATATTGTTACTCAGGCGACGGGTCATGGCCATTGGATCCACCGCACCTCTGCGCCCGGATCATCGTCGCTTAGCTCAATTGATTTTACTTTTCCTTTGTTTGGTGATGTATGGTCATGTGTTGTTAGTCTCCTCTGCGAGACTGTGAGACTGTATTTAAGAGCAAGTAGAAAGGTTTCTGTACAACTTTATCGAATTACGAAAAATCAAAATTTACTTGTGAATTATCAGCAGTTGTGTCTGGTCCGTTAATCGTTTAGCCGTGTTCGGTTAGAAATTTGTACTAGCGTCATTATTTCCGGACATACAATGTCTTCTTTTGGCACTGTATGTGCATCGTTTCACAAAAGCACAGGTTTCCAAAATACTCGTCGATACGGGATTTAAAACACTTCACAGAATCGGCCTCTATTAATCCTTCTGGTAGTGTATTCCATAAGTTTACGATTCTTCGTTCGATACAAAGCTGATGTGAAACTTTGTTCATGCTGGGGACCCTGAGTTTGTAACGATGTCCTCGGGTGTTACAGGGTTCTCTCAGGTGAAAGATTGGCCGCAGTATGGGGAAGTGATTCAAGTGTAGTACTCGATGGGTCATAATAAGATCAATTCTTACTCGGCGATAGGATAGTGTGTAAAGTCCGAGCTTTTCACAACGTTTTTCATATGGAAGCTTTCGTAGACTTGGAATCATTCTAGTTGCGATATGCTGTATTTTCTCCAGTTTTTCAGTTTCCAATTGGGTTATCGGATGGTAAGCTGGGGCACCGTATTCAAGGATTGGTCCCTCGTCTATTCAGACGAGGGACGGTTTCTTCGGACCATGTGGAGGAACTGCGTCGTAATGCCCAGAGCATACGAAGTCCCGCACGGTACAATTTCTCTGTATTTTCTAGTGATCTTAAATCATGTCGTGAGAGAACTCCTAAGTCTCTGACAGATGTGTTGGGATGGAGCAACTGGCCGTCCAAGGTGTATGATCGAGTGGTTGGACGTCTGGTGATACTGATGAACTCCGACTTGCTTGCGTTAAGAGGGAGTTGCATTTCAGTGGACCACGTTGACAGTCGTTCTAAGTCCTGCTGGAGGCGAGCGCAGTCGTCCTGGTTTTTAATGATCCTCCAGATTTTCAAATCATCTGCAAACAGGACACATGGTGACTGGAGCTGCTGCGGAAGATCGTTGATATGAATAAGAAATAATGCTGGCCAAAGTACAGTTCCTTGAGGCACGCCACTGGTCGATGGGAACCATTCTGTCAGATAGTCATTGACCTGTACTCTAAACCTTCGTCCCACAATAAACTCTTGTATCCACTGAAGTCACGTGCCACCGATTCCGTATGTCCTCAGTTTACGAAGGAGTACCTCGTGGTTCACTCTGTCAAATGCCTTACTAAAGTCGATGTACACCACGTCAACATCCTTCTGTTCATTGAGAGCTCGAACCCACTGGTGGTTTGCCATATGGTCAGATCGAATTCTTTGAAATTAGCTTGAACATCGATACCAATAGGCTTTTAAAATACTGTTTAACTGAAATAGTGATTGATCCTGTCTCTTGGTTCTATTACCAATTTCTAGGTTGCATAAATTCGCAGAAAATTATACTGATTTGTCTTGCTTTCGCTCGTGTTCCTCTCCCTACTCACACGATTAAGATTAGAACTGTGATAAGGTTGCAAGAGTAGCTTTTATCACCAATTATCCGTTTTCGTGAATGCTTCAGAGCTCAACTGCAACGTTATGGAGATTATATTCACTCAGTGCTTCGTTCGTTCCTGACATCAGCTGTGGTGTTGAGATTATCTTCCAGTTCTGTTTGTTTTGCCTTCTCAGCAAGCTCGCATGACGTCACTCTCCTCAGGCTCGCATTTGTCTTCTTCACTTCACCTAAATCTCATTTTTACTTTATCTGCAGTAAGCATACAAAGTTGCGCAATCGACTCGTGGCATTAAACCAGCTTAATGATGAGTGCGACCAGAAGATTGCTTTAAGAAGGAAGCAATTTCACCTGTTCCTGCACGCACTCAACGACCTTCAGAGTATGATTAAAAGTTAGTGCTATTATTCTCTAAATGTTAATGCGCATCGTCTAGGTGATGAACCCGTGGATGAGTCCCTTCTAACCGTCGCAAACTCGTCAATAGAAGAAACGTTGAAGATGGATACGACCTGAGCAAACGCTCCCTTTGCGCCCGTTATGTTATTACCATGTGTTTATGTACAGTTTACATGTTTATTTAATTACCCGACGCTGCAACTTTTGTTATTCTCGTTTTCTTTCCATAACGTTGTGCACGAATTCCTGATATCCACTGCGAGATTATGTTCGACTTGTGTCAATGTACTTCGAATTCTCCTACTACTGACCAGTCCTGGTCATCATCATTATACACTTTAGCTACATGTTGGAAACACGGCCTGTTGCAGCATAGGTACACCAGCTGAGCCATCAGCAGCGCATGAACATCGTTCCGGAGAGCTAACAGCCGGCTATTATGCCGCAGAAAAGGTTATATTATGCGTTCTAAATGAGATCGTGATTGGAAAGAGAGGCTAACCGGAAGTGGAAGGGACAATGAAGCTCACAACACAAACGCCACTGAGGTCAGCTTCTAACAACGTAAGTAAGTGTATCCAGCCAAACATGTTCATCGTCTTTCGGATCCCAACCAGGAAGTCTAGAGGCTCCAACCGAGGCCAACTTCGAACTAAAGGCCTTCATTCCTCTTTACCAAGTCATTGCTTGACCACCTTTCCTCTTCTTCCCTCCAAAGCCCCCGCGCGCAAACAACGCACGTCGCTGGAGTCGGTGTGCTGGCATGTGCAGCACGTAGCCCAGCCATCGGATCCTCCTGCGTGAAATAATAGGGCTGAGCGATCCACTTTCTCTGCCTGTGCCATAAGCAAGGCGTCGAACACGCTCATTTCTCACGCAGTGTTCCCACTAGGTATGCGCCAAACTACTTAGGCACCTGTGGTCGAATGTAACTAGCCTCTTTATGTCTTATGATCTGATGGGCCAGGTTTCACAACCATACAATAGGGTCGAAGGTACGGCTGCATTGTAATTACCCTTCAGACAGAGAGAGCGAGTGATGTCGCGCCGGTGCCATAGTTGGCGAAGGTTATCAGAAGCGCCCCAAGATTTTACTGTAAGCTTGGTGATCTCGTCTTCAATTCTAACGGCGCTTATACAACTACCCAAGTAGCTGAATTTTTGAACGATTTCTAGCTGTTCCCCACTAATGGTCACCGCAGGAAGTGTTCCCTGCCAATTTTGAAGGAAAGTGTTGCTCTTTGCGAGTGCAAAGCAAAGCCCGAGACGGCTGACAGCCAGCGTCAATCTGTTTGACACGTTTTGGGGGTTGTCACAGATGAGGACAGTCTTGTCAGCAAACTCAACATCAAGAAGTCGTTCGCCTGGGAGAAGCTTCACACCTTTTAAGTTGAGTCCAGTGTACGTGATTTACATTACTTCGTCAACAGCGAAGTTGACAGTGGGCATTCTTGTCTTACACGGCTGGAGATATTGAAAGTTGGCAACAGCTTGCCGTAAGCCCTCACTCTGCCCGATCTGCTCACTTATATCGCCCAGATAATGTTTACTTATTTACCGGGCGTGCCTTTTCTGAGTAGACAGCTCCATAGGACACATCGATCAATCGAATCAAAGGCACCTTTGATGTCGAGGAACACGACTACGGTAGGCCACCAATATATGTGATGTTACTCCAACAATGGACACGAAGTAAATATGTGATCGATGCAGCTCCGACCTCCAAACCTGGCTCGCTCCTCACGAATCTTGCTTTCACGAATGCCAGTTAGTTTGTGAAGGATAGTATAGGCAAGCAATCTGGAGGAGATGGAGATCAGATTGATTCCTCTCTGGTTACCGCATTCCGAACGGGAGCCTCTCTTGCAGATCAGGTCTATGATGGCGCAGCTCCAGTCGGTTGGAACAATTTCCTGCTTCTACAGTTTCACTAGCAACTCGTGTATATCATCAACAAGAGCAAATCCATCGATTTAGACGATGGCTGGATGTAGATATCTGGCCTCGCGGTCTTATTCATCATCAGCAGTCCGTTCTCATCTTCGACATCTTAGAGATAGGGCGGATCCAAAGAGACAGCCCTGGGAGCAGGGCGATCAGCGACCGGCGAGAAATTTAACTATTTCAACTGATTAATTTGCTTTTCAAAGTGCTCACCCCAACTATCTAAGTAAGCGTTTTGACAAGTTGTGGATATGATGTGAACCCGTCACAGATAGTTTCACTAACACCAGGTCTCCTGCTGTCCATTTCCCCTATCAGACGGAATAACTTTCGATGGTTGCTCAGGGCAGTGACCACTTCCATCTCCTACGCATGATGAGACCATCAGGCTTCACATTCTCTTATCAGACTTGTAAGCACTTTTGTCCCGTGGTATTTTCAAATCTCAATATTTTTGCTTCCATCCGGAACATGCCGGTGAGATTCCAGGAGTTCTAGGGACTGCGCAGCAATTTATTGTCCAGGTTGATAGTCAAATATGCTACATAAGAACATGCTGCTATTGAGGTCTGGCGAAAATGTGGCCAGAGTCATCCTTGTGTTTACTGAGCGCTTACGGAATTCGGATGTCAGAATTGTTAGATGTGTCGCTATACCATCCGGCCTCGCCATTTACCAAACGTCTGTGCGCTCACATTGTTGCGATCGCCTGCCGAAGCGCACACGCACGTCGGCACATGTAACTGCATGGTGGGACCCAACGCTCGTGCTCCAATCAGAGTAGTTTTCTCCAACCATAACTGATCGCGAAATGTTCAATTTGTGTCCATTGCTGCTCTGAGCTGGTAGGCTGCATATCACTCTTCTCCGGGTGCTGGGTCTGAAGTGGGTGCTCGCGAGTTATATACAAGCATCTTTCCCCAAGTGTAAAAACTGCTCACCGTCATTATGTCAGCCTATGCCGTGTTAGTCGCGGTTCATCGGTGAACAGTTTTCCATTTTGGACCTTCATATCACCACATCGTCCGTACTTTTTCTGTAACAAAGCAGCACCTTCAGTTGGTTATAGAAGTCATCTTTCATCGAGCCCATGCTACTATCTGCGGGGGCTTAGGCATCAAGGACAAACAGGCATCTCTTGTCTCTGAGTGAATTCGAAGCTCTGAACGAGCCAGCCAATCTGACGGCGCACATTCGACTGTTGGTTGGTCCCCAGTATACCAAAGCGTGCTTTTTTCCATTAGCTCAGAGCAATGTCCACACCTTGTCGATCGGCATTCGTGGCTGCATCATCTCCGGATAAACGCAAGGAGAAAGTACCAACAGCGTCACATGTGGGGTATTGTGTTGCCCTCTGTGAATCAAAACAAAAATCTGGGCCTCGACCAGAAATCTATTGTCCAAACGAACCTATGCTCATTTTATACGTCGTATCAATCAGAGCCATTCACAGATAGGCAAATTCCATCCGATCGTTCTTTTAGTGGCACGCACTCGAGCTCTGGTCTCATCAGTTCATATCAGTTATCTACTTGGTGTCATCGATTTGGGCCTATCGACGCGATTAACCAAGGGGTCCGCTTGGAGTCATTGTTGCTTGTTCACTAGCTACCACCACATGGGGACGTTAGAGTGAGTACAGCGTTTGAGTCTGGCCGACGGGTTTCCGACAGGTGACAGATATCAATCGACAGAGTCTCTAATTTTCGTTCAAGTGCTGTTTGTTCACCGATCTGTAACGAATTATTTACGTTAAGGCATAAGAGTCTTAGCGACTATTAAGTGCTCCAAATGACCGCAGATGAACTAATGTTGCTCGTTTGGTCGGGCATGGGAACATAAAAGTGATTACTAACGGCTCCAGAACCGTTCATTTTGGGGAGCTAGGTACCGTTCTTTATCTAAACCTGACTGTAGGTTTCTAGTTACCAATCAAAGAAGATTTCTATGTGACCCGAAATAGTTCGGTTGTCCCTGTCAATGGCATAGCGCTTATTTCCTAGCACTCACTCCAAACCAAATGGCCTCTAACTGATAAGGTTCACACTAATTGAAGAATTACCTGTAGTTAGCAGTAGTCGTATGAGTATCAACTGTATAGGTAGAATAATACAGGAATCTTTTCTAAATGAACTGATGTCATGCGTGACCAGCGTCAATTAGACGGAACACTTTTGAGATGGACGCATTCTGGCACTATTTTTGTGGATCCAATTATTGAGTCGGAGACGAGAGCTCTCCACGCTTAAGCAAAACCCCTCTTGAGACATGGTATCGGTCGATCGTCATTCGTCAGCACAACGATGCAGTTTTCATTCTTATTCATTCTCTACTTTGTCCGTCTGCTTCTATTTAGAGACTGCCTCTGACCCTAGCTGACAGTGTATCTAACCCACAATTTTCGGGTCTGCAACGTGCTAAATCGGTCAACATATAGCGACGCCACTTATCCTGTACCGTTTGAAGTAAGATACGTCCCTGGTACATAGAGGAATGCTGATGTCTTCTGACCCATCGTCGACAATGCTGTCCGAATGCCGATGATGGTTATTGTTTCTTCGGGCCCTTGGCAATAGGTCAGTGGTTAGGATCAAGTCGCCCTTAACGGAATTGTTGCAGGTACTGTACTCGAGTAGACTCCATTAAACAACTGCATGTACGGAATTCACAACTGAAGCTCGAGCATATTAAAGGCAAAACGTTTTTATATTGCAGCTATGTGCACCCCTGTAGCTTTACATTGGAAACTATCGAGATGAATTCCATCGCTAACACTTATTCGAACGGTTAGAATGCGGATTCTTTCGATTTTACTGGTCATGTGAAGGTGAAGGGAATCCCTTATCGAGGTGTTATTGTGTCTAGAATTTTGTGGATTGATATGTACACCCGACTTCTTCAAATACCTACCGACCTTGATCATTGTAGCACCAATGCGATCCTTCTAACGAAACGCCGATTTGGCGTCATTGTTCACTAAACGATACACTGCTTTAGTTCCAGAGAGAGTGAGAGTACTAATAGCTACGGATGACGCGCTCTACGGCAGAAATTGTCCGCAGTGTGGAGCCGTCAACACACTTCCGACCATATATTAGCGCTTAGCTAAAATTGTATATTCCTCCTAATACCGAGAAACCGTACCCACAAAAGATGGACCATATTTACATAGGTAGCATGCTCACGCTTGCAGATCTGTCGGTGTTTGAGATTTGTGCAACGATGCACATTATGTGGTAACGGAATTAGGCAAAACGCACCTCC